TTGCGAGTCTGGATTCTTTTATCAACAGCAAGTGCCCACCTTTGAGCGTTATTGCCCCTAAGTCTTTTGTTGGAGCAAGTATTCACCATAGTACCTAATACTTTCTACACTAGGAGGCTTTAGTCGTCATTGCAGAAAGGCTGAAGGATCTCGACTTTAATGTGCTCCCAATCAGATTTTTTTCCCCTACAGTCTTTTAAGACTGGAAAGACTAAATTATGCCGCAAATGTACATTGATTTTTATCCTTTTCCTCCTCTGTTGGGCTCATTCATGCAGCTTAACTACTCCTCAGTGATGTTGAAGATTCCTGCCAGCAGGGAGGGAGGAGTTGCTAAGCGAGTCCTCTGCTCCCTCCCCGACGGGAATGGGCTGCTAATGTGCCACCCGCTGACCTTTGCCTTAAAAACCGATGCATTCCGCAAAGGTGCAACCGGGTTGGTCCTCTGTAATTTGATTTTTGTTTGCCATGGAAAGGCTGGTTTGTTTGCTTTGCACTTAAAGGCCACAGTTTACTCAGCGCTGTAAAACTCTTCAAAATCACATATAAGTAAATATGTGCAAAACAAATAATACTGAAAATTAGTCTGGCGAAAAAAGTGAGATACTACTATTGCTTAATAATGTATATTTGCAAGGCTTCATTTTGCAGCAGAAAAAATTGTTTTCTTCCCTCAAAATGTCTTTCCTGAGACCACAAAATGCTTAATAGCATGATTTTTTTTAGGAAACAAGTTTTAATTATTGTGTTTAAAGGAGTACTGGGTCTCTCTGTCTATTTTATATTGCTGCGAATGACAGCAGAGGATAATGAGGCCACTGTTTAAATGAAGAATCCCTATCTACCATTGTAAACTGCTTGGAACTGAAAATATTGAATTAGAAAACTAAGATAGGTAGATGGCATAACATTAAAGAAATTAATTCCGTAATTTAGAGTTTCCTGTCCTGATCCTTCTCAGCCGGTCGTGCAGTTACTCATTTCCTTCCTCCTGATTCATCAAAGCATTTAAACACTCCTGATTTCAGTGGCATTTAAGTGTATGCTTGTTGATTCAGTGCTTTAACCAGAGAAAATCCTTAATAAAGGCAGTAGGATTTGTTTTGCTGCAGAAGTCCAGGATCTAAAGTTTCTTTTTTTTTTTTTAATCCTGTATTTGAGTGTGTACAACTCTAAATCAACAATTTACCTGTTCAGTAGTTGTTACTACACACCACTCACCACCCAAACCAGTTCTTTCACTCTGGCTATTTAATCTCGGGCTGGTAATATTAGTGGCAAGAGGAACTGAACAGCTGGGGCAGTGCTGCAGTAGCTGGAGTCAGGCTGAGAATAAGGTTCTAAAAATGTGTTTCAGGTGTCTCCTTTTTAGATTGCATTTAAATACTAAGTAAAAAGATGTGCCTTTTCCCTGCTTATGCCCTCTTGAATTGTCACTATAGTTTAAGCATCTTCAAGTGTAGGATAGCTTTATTTTCTACCATTTTAAAGGCCCAAGTAAAAGTTTCTGGGAAAAAAAATGCAAGTGTGTGGGGAAATGCTTGAAGAAAACAGAATGGGGAAAACATACATGGAGAAGGGCGAGTTAAATGTAGTACAGCTGCTGCACGATAATTTGATTTGCTGAACAGCAGTCTACGGGTGTACACGTCCTTTTACAAAACTTAGTAAGTATGTAGTTAGTAATGAGCTCTACAGAAGCTTTATTACTTCAAAACATAGAGTTTTTTAATAGACTTATTACATCTATTTCTTTTGGGTTCCTTCGATACAATCCTGTTTGCAAGACAGAATATTTGACTAACACGCAGTAAGAGTGAAAAGCTACCAAAGACACCAACCTACGGCTGGGCGCTATACGACTTCCTTTAAAAGCAAATGGGGAGCGGCAGTGCGCGTGTACAATTTTTGCCTTGGTTGTCTGCTTTTGTCCCTCAAAATGGAATTTTTTGCCCATTTATGTTCTGCACATTTATGTTTCTGCTGACATGCAATGTGATTCTGCTTTAACTTTTTTAATTAGAAACAAACAAATAAAACCCCTACTGGGCTTGTTACCTAAAAGTCGGCCTGCTGTTTCACCAAAGCAGCAGGTGAAAGATAACATTTCGTGGAGATTGGGAGCAAAGGGAGGTCTCGTTTTGGAGCGGGGGTGGATCGCTACAGGATACAGCGAAAAGGTGCGTGACAGCCTTAAACTCTCGCTCCTTTCCTTGTAAAGGGCAGGAAATTCCCCAAAGTTTGCAAGGTATCGCTTGCTTTACTGGGCTTTTAAAAACAACTTAAGTAAGGCTGTACTTTCCTTGGATAATTTTCTATTGCGAAAAGCTTGAAAACGTGACCGCAGGACTCCCAAATGGCTCAGCACCCTGGGAAGTAGGACGAAGCCCAAACCCATTATTTTAAGGCTCGGTGATGTGGGGCCGCCCTTAACCAAGGCGGCTGACGGGGGCCCGGCGCCTCATTTTGCCGGCAGCGTCAGCAGGCCCCCGGTGCCAGGCTTTCCTCTGGCGGGTCCGAACAAGTTTTGCTGCCGCAGAGACTTGAGCGGGGCGTTGGGGGGAAAGACGACTGATGTTTAATTAGCGGGTTTGTGAAGTTTTCAGAGAAGAAA